AAGCATTAAAGCAAAGATCAGAAGGTCAGATTAAAGAAATTTGATTATTTAAAAAACAATATAATTATATTTCTTCATACGTATGTTTTGACACAAATATTCTACATTTTGATAAAACAGTAAAAAATACATGTTTCCCGAAAGATCAAACAATTCTATCTTTTGAATTCCACACGTATTGCTTGTGTTATTATCTATTTAAATTTGGTTTGATCGATTTTAATGTTAAATCTTAACTTTATCGATTTCAATAGAAATCAAATCTGTATATCATAAGTACCTAGCTAACCTCTACTACTATATATTTAAAATGTTCAAACAAGTATCGTGCTATTATTTGTCACATGTTGACTTGTAATAAAAACATATTTTTCTAAAATTGAATTTATTGCAAATTGTCAAACTTGGTATTGAACAGATCTACACTTAGCTTCTTACACATTAAACATTATATTCTTACATGAATACATATATATGTACAGCTACGATATTAAACATTATATTCTTACATGAATACATATATATGTACAGCTACAAATAATTGGTGAGTTAATTATTCTAACATTTGTATATTTAGTTTTGTTAAATAAAAGAAAACAAAAAAAAACAATTTTAAAAAATAATATTGGAAAAGATTTAAAAAAGCTAATTATGAAGAAAAGTGGAATATTTTAAAAGAATTACTTTTTGTTTTGCTTTTTTCTCTTAATTTGTTTGCAGTGTTAGTTTTCTGTGTTTTGAGACTCATTTAATTTGTTTACGTTTCTAGGGGAAATATATCAGTATAGTAATCATCCCAGTACACTCTGTACTCAGTACACAAATTTCAGTACACAGTACAAAGAACACAATACAGAGAGCACAGTACAGAGAACACAATACAGAGAGCACAGTACAGAGAACACAGTGCAGAGAGCACAGTACAGAGAACACAGTACAGAGAGCACAGTACAGAGAGCACAGTACAGAGAGCACAGTACAGAAAACACAGTACAGAGAACACAGTGCAGAGAGCACAGTACAGAGAGCACAGTACAGAAAACACAGTACAGAGAGCACAGTACAGAGAGCACAGTACAGAGAACACAGTACAGAGAGCACAGTACAGAGAGCACAGTACAGAGAACACAGTACAGAGAACACAGTACAGAGAACACAGTACAGAGGACACAGTACAGAGAGCACAATACAGAGAACACAGTACAGAGAACACAGTACAGAGAGCACAGTACAGAGAACACAGTACAGAGAACACAGTACAGGGAACTCTACACCGGAAAAATTAAAAATGTATTAAAAACATGTTCTTTGTTGTACGCCCGAAGCAATAATGTCCTTATAATGCTAATGCTCAGTTTTAAATGAAACATTTTTTGCAATTTGTCGTCCAATTCTACAATTATTATTTTGCAGACTTGTTTAAAAATTCGGCGCCTTTGCACTTTTAAGTATGAGTTCATTTTATTGATTTATTTAGTTTTACATTATTTTCACATTTATTAATATTTTTACAAATTTATCGCAGTTAGAGCTATACACAGCCAAATATTCGGTTTTGTATTCAAACATAAGATATTTTTATTACCCCCTCCCCTTTATATACCTCTAAATTTAATCCCCCCCCTCATCCTTCCTTCCGAACATCTGCACCTCCAAGCATACACCTCTACTTATCATAATACGTGAATTTTGACATTGTTTACGAAATCCAAGCACGCGTTTAAAAAAATACCTTCATTTTAGGATTTTAGGGGGAAAACACAATTTACAGCCAACATTTTCAGGGGTGAATACTCACAGAAGAGTTTTTTTTTAATAAAACCAACACCTCCAATCGCTACAAAAGTTCACATGTTAAATAACAAAGTTTCAAGAATTTTAAAATTTCAAGAATTTTGAAGAGAGAAAAATTTCAAAGAATAAAAGGTATAATTTCACACCTGTGCTGCATACATTACCAGATTTATTCTGTGTTTTGACAGATAGACAGATAGACATATAGATAGATAGATAGACAGATAGACATATAGATAGATAGACAGATAGACAGATAGACAGATAGACAGATAGACAGATAGATAGATAGACAGATAGACAGATAGTCAGATAGACAGATAGACAGATAGACAGATAGACAGATAGTCAGATAGACAGATAGACAGATAGTCAGTTAAACAGATAGACAGATAGACAGATAGACAGATAGACAGATAGACAGATAGATAGATAGACAGATAGACAGATAGACAGATAGACAGATAGACAGATAGACAGATAGAAAGATAGACAGATAGACAGATAGACAGATAGACAGATAGACAGATAGACAGATAGAAAGATGGAAATATAGAAAGATTTAAGATAGAAAGATGGAAAGATGGAAAGATAGAAAGATAGAAAGATTGAAAGATAGAAAGATAGAAAGATAGAAAGATGGAAGGATAGAAAGATAGAAAGATAGAAATCTAGAAAGATAGAAAGATAGGAAGATAGAAAGATGGAAGGATAGAAAGATAGAAAGATAGAAAGATAGAAAGATGGAAGGATAGAAAGATTGAAAGATAGAAAGATAGAAAGATAGAAAGATAGAAAGATGGAAGGATATAAAGATAGAAAGATAGAAAGATGGAAGGATAGAAAGATAGAAAGATAGAAAGATAGAAAGATAGAAAGATGGAAGGATAGAAAGATAGAAAGATAGAAAGATGAAAGGATAGAAAGATAGAAAGATAGAAAGATAAAAATATAAAATCTGCTAGAGTCCTGTCGGCAAAATGAATACCAAGCAATAACATGCAACAGCTTTTCTTACCGGGATGATGCAGTTTTAACTTTTTTAAACTAGTGTTCAAAAATGTAATGTGACTTAATATAATAGGTTTATTCAAATGGGAACAATAACAAATTTGCATTTTAGTGTTGAAAATATCTAAGTTGCAACCTGCCAATAACACACAACAGAAGGGGTTTTTATAATGTTTTTAAAGTGTTTTACGCGTCTATTTATCTATTTATCTATCTAGCAAATAAATGTATATATAACATATCTGTTTCAATGTTTATCTTAACAATGCATTAAAGCAGTTTGTAAATTAGGCATTATGCAGCAGTGTTTACTGTCTATACCTTATTCATACAAATATAAACGTAAAATTGTAGAAATATCAAGATATATAATGTATCTGTAATCTACGTATATAAAAAAGTGTGATCAGCGGAGTCTGGTGCAAAATTGTACTTTTATTGTGCAACTCTCTGGTATGGTATTTTTTCAATATTTTTTGGATTTTTTTTTAATTGCGCGAAACTTTTTTTTCTCTCAAAATCAAAAGTTTAGAAAAGCAAAAATGTGTATACATTTTTTAATTCAAGTGAAAAATTTTTATAGAAATTGAATAACAGAATCACAAAAAATGTGCAAAATTTTAAGAAGAAAATTTGCCATTTTTAGTTTGGTATAATTTTTAGGGAAAAGTTGTTTCTCAATGGCTCCTCAGTGTTTAACAAAACAGTGTAAATTTATAACTTTAGAATATACTAAGAAGAAAGGAAACCCATTAGAAAACAACTTTTAAATTTAAATTTTAAAAATTTAAATTTGAAAGAACCTGTCAAATCTTTCGTTGGGATGTTTAGAAAGATGAAAATTTCCCTGTATGATAATTGAAGGACTGCAGTATGGTTTTGGTGAATTATATTGGCGTACAAAGCCTAGGGGTGTCAGAAATGATTTTTTTTGCATTTTTAAAAAAACTTCTATAAAACTTTTAAAGTTTAATTTTTGATAAAACTTTTTGTTCTGGATGATTGCAAATATTTTTAACTCAAACTCTTAACTAAATGAATATAGAAAAAATATGCCAGTTTAAGAAAGTTTTAGATAGATATTTGTAATCATCCAGAACAAAAAGTTTTATCAAAAATTAAACTTTTTTAGGTTTATTGGACGTTTTCAAAAAAATGCAAAAAAAATCATTTCTGACACCCCTAGGCTTAGTACATTAATATAATTCACCAAAACCATATTGCAGTCCTTCAATTATCATTCAGGGAAATTTTCATCTTTCTAAACATCCCAACGAAAGATTTGACAGGTTCTTTAAATATGAAGATTCGAAGCCCGGGACAATTAGTACGTTTGTCCTAAATTATTGTTTTAAATAATACATTAAATGATCTGACAAAGATATAGAAAAAGGTAGAGTACCATGAATTGATTCCAGGAACTGAATAAATTCCGTACAGTCGTCTCTGAAGTCTCCTTCTTTGAATTTAAATCCAGGTCGTCATTACTGTCTCATCTTTTGTGGGTAACCCTGTATTTACAATTGTACATTACACCTGGATTAAGAATTTTATAATAAAATATTGTTTTCTATAGATTTTTGGAATTTTGACATTTTTTGTTTTTAAATGTCAGCTTGCTCAGGGGAGGAGGAACAATGAGGAAGATATTGTTTTTAATCTTGAACCGTGTTACTTTGAATTCTGTAAATTTCCTTCTTTGTCTCTGCTTCAACTTTTTTTTCTGAAGCAAATCTGTAATTGCAAATTATCAATCTTCAAATAGAAAAACAAAAATTTCTGTGTAGTAGTAGCCAGGGTACTGCGCGTTGCGAGTATTGGATGCAAAAATAATAAGAAGAGTAAAATAAGTAGTATTTCCGTGAAAAAGCTAGAAAAATAGAGGCTAGAGCTCAGAGGCCGCTTCCTCCCATTATTCAGCGGACAATAGCCTTGAGGCCGCAACCGTCGGTACGCGTCATGCACCGAAGCTGCAGGCGGGCCAGGCCGTCAGGGCAGTGTGCCAGAACATGCGGGTTGGGTCTGAAAAGGACTCTGAACGGGCGGTATTGTAGGCGTGTTTATTATCTGCCGGAGAGAGAGAGAGACGGAATTGTCTCCGATGAACAGAGAGAGAGAGAGAGAGAATGATAGATAGATAGAGAGAGAATGGGAGCCCCCAACCGAAGCAAAGCAAGAATAGAATAGAACAGTTGTGTTTCATCAAGAGAAGAGGAAGGAAGTGTAGTAAATGCGAGTTTAAAACTAGTGACACTAGTTTCGTTCAAATACATATCTTTGCAGAGAAAGGTATTTAGAAAATTTAGCTAAAAACAAATTAAATCTAATAATCAATTTTTTCAGATCAAAGTTTTTTTCATTTTAATTTATATATGCCAACATTTTTAATAAATAAGTGTATTCAGAAATAAGTACATTTTCTATTCTAATTTTAAACGAATTTGAATCTTATAAATTTCTTGTTCAGGAAAAAGCGCAATGGCGTCAAAACGAAAATCGCATCCGATCAAAATCGCGAGCGATGATTTCTTGTACTCAGTGCCTGACGCTCAAGAGCTCGAACCAAATCGCGATTATTTGCCGAGTTTAAACCCAGGCTCGTTAAATGGTGTATTTGAGAACTTGGAGGAGAAAATTGTTGTAAAAAGAATGGAAATGATGAAAAAAGAAGAAGAAATTGCTGATCATGAAGGAAAAAGTTCTGAGAGGTATTTTTTAAAATTTTTTTTTGCAAATTTAGAATTTATTGTTCAGCTACTTAATCCAATTACAGAAGTAAAGAAAGGAATTGAGTCTTTGCCACAAACTAAAAGTTTGAGGCAAAGACTCAAATCCTTTACAAAAATGTATATAATAAACATTGTTTAATAATTTATACTATTTCAGCGGGTTGGATGAGAATGAGAGGATGCGTGGGATGATTTACAGTATTTATAATTTCATCATAAACCAGCATAAAATGAAGGGGGCATCTGCACTTCAGCCCCCCTTTACACCAGGGTTCAATATCAACCCGGGATTAACTGGTCTAAATTTCAACCCGGAGTATATCTCTAAAACTGACCCAACCTCTCCTTTCTTTCCCTTGAAACGGGATCATTCCGCCCTTTTCGACCAACCTGTGAGATTCGACGGCCGATCAGCTAGTGAATTTAAAAAAGACGATTTTCGGCACATGGACGAATCGTCCCGGGATGAGGATAGATCTGGTCAAAGTAGTCCTGCAGCATATTCGGAACTAAAGGTCAGCTAAATTCATTTTACTTTTTAACAATATTCGTGAATTTTTCGGGTTCTCTAGCATTTTCTGCATTTTTTGTAAAAATAATTAGAAATAAAAAATGATAATAAAAAATAGGGATTTAAAAAAAGATATCCATTGTTACATTTTTTTCGGAAATATCTTTATTTAAAACTTATAAAAATCTTTTTTTTTAAATTTTTGTTTTACTATTTAACACTTTAAACTATAAACCAATCCTAATATCCGTAGATTTGTATTTAAAAATAGTAAGGTTTTGAAAACAAAATGGTATTTTAGTAGACAGAGCTTAAGAAGATTCGGTCCAACCAGCCATTTGAAACGATCTTTGATTAAATATATTTTTTATTTTAGGGAACCCCTGAGCCGCTAAACCTATCTGATGAATCTCCGCTAGAACTAGAAGAGTCAGCTCCTCTTCTCCTAGACAAGAGTTTAGATGATACTCCGCTAAATCGGAGTTTAGAAGATACTCCTCTAAACCTTTCAAAATCTAAACCTGAACCCTCCTCTTCCTTCTCCTCCTTCTCATCCTTCCAGAGATTTCAAGAATTTCAGAGATCTTCCACCCTTCCTCCCCCTTCCCCACACCTTCTACCCCTCCCCTTCCCGACCTCCTTTCAAAAATCTATGATGAGAAATTTATATCCTTCCCCATACCTTGACTACTACAGTCAAATAGGATTCCTTCCCCAACCACCTTCCTTCTCCTCTCCTCCCTTCACCACCTCCTACCCTTCACCGACCCTCTCCTCTAGCCCGGAAGAAAGACGAAACGACGATGAAGGGACGAAATCCGGGACGAAGGTGGTTCGCGAGCGACGCGAGACGGACAGAAACCACATCAAGCGACCAATGAACGCGTTCATGATCTGGGCAAAGGATGAACGTAAGAAGATATTGAAGACCTGTCCTGACATGCACAATTCCAATATTTCAAAAATACTAGGTAAAAACAAAATTATGATGCTAAAGGGACTTACCACGATATTTCAAGTAAAAAGTTTTTAAGAATCGGGCACGTAATGTAACTTTTGAAACGGAAATCAAAATTTCTATTTAAGACCCTGGATGTTTCTACCTTAAATTGTCTAATTACTTACTTTCTGAATGGCCAATTATTATAGTCAATCTATGTTAGAACAGAATGAATTTCAACACTTCCATGAGAAATTAGTTTGACTACTTGGTGAAATTATAAACATTGCAAAACGAGTGAACTGTACTGTAAACTAAATATTACAGGATCGAGATGGAAAGGAATGTCTACAACAGAAAAGCAGTTCTACTATGAGAAGCAGGCTGAACTAAGTAAACTGCATATGGAGAAATATCCTGACTATAGGTAGGCTAAACCAGGAAATATACATTCATACAGATTTTTTCGATATTTACTGCCACAACACAAGTTTGAGAATATTACTGGCGTTTCTTAAAACTTTGGTACACAGACTAGATATACACAGACTGCTCATGAGCTCTCACTGGATAGGCTAAGCAGGTCTATAGTTATCCCAGCACGACATGCTACATTTCCAAGGAAGGTTTTTGACTGTCATTTAACGGCCATTTGTTTAATAATTTTATAACTTTTAATATAAAACATAAAATTTACAAATTTAGTCTTTTTTAATATTTTGTATTTCGTATACAAAGGATAATCTTTAAATATCCCAGACAGTGCAGTTTACAGTTTTGGCGTTCCTAGAGTATAGATCCTTGAGCTAGATTACACGAGTATTGAGGGGAGGGCAGGTTATGTAAACTATACTCACCCGTTTTTAATGTTTAAAACCTATTCTAGAATCTAACAGATTGTCTTTGTTTTCTTTATCTTATTTCTTTTATCAAGAACTATTAAATGTTTCAATGTCCAGAGAACTGAAATAGTTATGGCATAAAGAATGTTTTAACGTTATACAAATCAAAAATTATAGATAAGGAAAATTATAAGAATTAATGGAAAAAGAAGGAATCAATCAATGATAGAATGGAAGAAAGAATGAATGTACAAATGAATTAATTAATTAATGATGGAAAAGAGGAAAGGACGAATGGATGAATATAAATAAAAGGACAGTATGTATGAAAGGATGAAAGAAAGGAGGAAAGAAGAAATAAATGAATGAATGAGTGAATGAGTAAATTAAATCAGATCCTTCCAAAGAATCCTTTTATCGGATAAAGTATTACAGGGTACGGGTACTGGGTACAGGGTACGGGGTACGGGGTTTATTAGATAAATTGGTTTGTGATGATTGCAGGAAGGAAGAGAACAGTTTTATATTGAAAAAAAGTTAATTATGAAAGAAAAAAATATAATTGGGGGAAAATGTCAGAAAGATGGGTTTTGGAGACAGCCCAGAGGAATAAAATTATTGAAAGTAACTTATTCAAAGATCTAAATTCCTTTCCATTTTATTTTCCTTTTCATTAACAGTTAAAAAAAACTTGTTTTAACTGTTTCAGAGAAGAGATGCAAACAAATACCTTGTTAGACAAAACTCTTTTAATTTCTTCGTATAGTATCCATCTATCCATCTACAATCATCTATGCATATAAAAAATCTATGGTTTCCAGGAAGTTTTCAGGCCCCAACAGGTGCTGAAGCCCCCCCCCCCCCTTCTAGAAAGAAAAACAATAATCCCGTGAATAAATTCCTGTTTACGCCCCTAAATTGTTTAATATCTATATTTATCTATCTATCTAGGTACCGACCCCGGCCTAAGAGAACCTGTATCGTGGACGGGAAGAAGCTAAAGATCTCGGAGTACAAGGCCCTCATGAAGACAAGAAGGGAGGAGATGAAGAGCTTCTGGGGGGAGGAGAAGGGGAGGGAGGAGAGGGGTATATGGGGGGAGGAGAAGGGGAGGGAGGAGAAAGGTATATGGGGGGAGGATAATGAGGAGAAGCGAATGTGGGAGGAAGAAAGGGGAAATGATTATCATATGATGGATAATTAAATAACTATACTTCTGTTGAATTCTTTATAGATTATTTATTGAAAATAATCACATGTGATTATATTTCGACTCTAGTTTGAAAACAAGGTTTAGGAAAATTATCAAATTTGTGGTGAAAACAAACTGTTTTCTCTCTAGGTGTTAAATATTGTTAGTTTCATCCTATACAGTAAACATACAAATCATGTTATAAAGGGACTATTACTGGATTAAATGTGAAAAAGTATTGAAGAAGATACAAAGGAATTGATTACTTCCCTTAAAATCTAATTTTCTAATTCCTATATATCTTTGCAACCGAATGATGTAAATCTTTAATGTTTTAAACTACAATTATTTGAATTTGTAGTTTAAAATGTCACGTCATCAAGTTTAAAAAATATAGGGATTAGAAAATTAGAATTTGTGGCGAGTGTTCAATTTCTTTTTCAAAATCCATTTTTAAAAATTTATGTTATTCACTAATCTGGTTTATGTGAAAGTTTTAAAACAAATCTTTTATTTTTATTTTTGTTTGCCGGCGCGAACAACCCTGGGCACACAATTGCATTTTTTATTCTCTACTTTTTGTCAACTATAATATTGAACATATCAGTTTTTAAACCACGGTTAAAATTCATTCAGTTTCCTGTTTTCGTTTAATAGTACATTGCTTGATTAAACAATTTTACATCCTTTTCCCCGTACATTTTTATATTCTAAATAGTCTATTAAAGGCAAAAAAGGATCTCATAGCTTTAATGTTTGAAAAAAATTTATGAAGGGATGTAAACCCCTCACCACACTGTCTCCATGATGACCAAAGAAATTGTGATTATTATTATTATTATTATTATTACTGTATTTATTTGCTTAAAATGAATGTTCCCTGTTTATGTTGTAAATAAATATAATTTGGTTCCAGACAGGGCAGTTAAGGGCAGTTCAGGGCAGTTCAGGCCAGTTCAGGGCAGTTCAGGCCAGTTCAGGGCAGTTCAGGACAGTTCAGGACAGTTCAGGCCAGTTCTGGGCAGTTCAGGGTAATTTGGGCAGTTTTTGCGGAATTACCAATGACTTAATAACTACAGTGTTAATTAGAAAACAATGGAAGAGGAAGACGACGATACTGCAATACTTAAATGTATTTATTGTTGTTACAAAGCAAATAGTTTTACTAGACACGAATTAAATCACTGGTCTGTTTAAATCACATTGTACAATTGCTGTGTCTCATTCTCATTCAACATTTTAAAGTTATAATTTGATTCCATAAGTGGTCTTCATATTTCAGAGTTTTCTGGTTATCGGTGTACATAATCAGTTATCTTGCTGTAGGAATCCACGAATGATTTCTCTATTAGCCGCGGATGTTGTCAGTTCTCAGTTGTCTTTTTTAACGAATGCCTTTACTGAAGAAACTATTTAAAGAAAATAGTCATTTTATGTTTATTCTGAATTCTTTTGCCCACGCCAAACTAACCAGGGCTAAGTAATAAACTGATGATTTATCAGAAATTATTCGGAACTGGTGAAAATTGGCTAGAAAATGAAGGTTTATTTATCACTGCACACAAACCAAGAGGTCTAATTCAATTGGCATTACTATTACGACTTTGTGACGGCGTTGCTCCCCTAGATCTGATTTTACCAAGTGTACGAAAAGCAAGTTAATTCAGTTAAAATATATTATAAACTAAAAACAGTTTGTTCTTCTGAATAGCTCTTCAATCAGAGAAGTAATGATAAAAAACATAAAGATTTCAATTTCACGTGCATTTTACTTTAGTTTGACGTGCTATAGAAAAAAAATCTGAATCCCGGGGCATTCGTCCACAAGGAGTTTGTTTACGTTCGGTAACTAAAATTATTTGGTTTGGAAAAATTTTTAAGATACGTACTATCAGTCGGGCCAGTACATGAAGATTTCGTTGTACCGGTCCGAATTTCTATCTATCTATCTTCAAATCATTATATTGCCATTTTGGCCCTAAGTGCGTCTTTGCCGAAAGTTGTAGGAAGTGAGTTTAAGATAAAATGGATATTTACAATTTTAGCCTAGAACGTTGTTTTGGCTTTGTCAAGAAAAAAATAATTTTAGCAACGAAGAAAAATTCCAAGAAACCCCAAAGGAGTTGAGTCTTAGTCACAAACTCTGCTTTTCTAATTCTTATATCTGAGCATCTAAATGTCATAGATCTCAGATATTTCAAACTGTGAATTCTATAAGATCAGATAATTCATATTTGAAATATCAAACATCAGGTTGCAAAGATATAAGAATAAGCAAATTTGAGTTTGTGTCAAAAACTCAATTCCTTTATTATTTTTTTACTGGAGCAAACTTAAATCAAAACTGAAGCTTAGTACAATAGTACATCTTCAATAAATATATATATATATATATGTATGTATATAAATTCTGTTAAATTGGTTAGCTACATTGATAGATAGATAAAAACAATGTTCAAGTTCAATTTCAAATTTCAATAAATATCTATTTTTCTGAAACAATAATAATTTCATCGGATCGTTAATGTCAAGCATATATCAAGAAATATATAGAAATAGTTTAGATAATACTAAATAAAGATGAAATAGAAAAACTATAATGAGAACACTGCATTTTATGTCAACTATTTAAATTTAATTGTATTTGCACATTAATAAAACAAAAGATGTATAAAAACTTGATCGTTACAAAGTCGTATATTAAATATAAAAAACCTTTTTGTAAAAATCTGTGCTAAAAGATTGTGTGAAACTATAGCTTTTGACCGACAATTTTATATATGTTTAATTTGAGCAGATTTTCATTTTAAACAATCTAAAAAAAGTCATAAAGATTTAAAATGTTAAAATACTTTTGATTTTTTAGCTTTTGGGATTTTTTTTCAATCTTTTTAAATGAAAACAAACTCTTTCAGAGGTATCTATCTATCTATCTATCTATCTATCTATCTATCTATCTATCTATCTATCTATCTATCTATCTATCTATCTATCTATCTATTCCCGGATCTCTGGAACATTGCGGAGCGAACTATTGTTACCTTCTCCTGTGGGAGGGAGAGATTGCGGACTTATCCTGTATACAGGATAATGGAGGAAGTCTGGTTCCGCCCGGATCTCTGGAACATTGCGGAGCGAACTATTGTTACCTTCTCCTGTGGGAGGGAGAGATTGCGGACTTATCCTGTATACAGGATAATTGAAGGAAGTCTGGTTCCGCCCGGATCTCTGGAACTTTGTGGAGCGCGGAGCTAGGTGTAAGCAGTGTCTTCCGTGGTTGGTTCCGTATCTGAATCATCATCATAACAGAGATGCGGTGTTTTCAACAACTGTTTCTAATTTCAAAAAAGAACAATTAATTTAAGAAATATAAGATTTTTTCCCATTTATTTTTCAAAAGACCGGGAAAACTAGAATAGAAACTTTATATGTATATATATATAAATGAGTTGGGTAGCAGTCAATAGAGCCAATCTGTGTGAACAGGACATAGAGAAGGTCGTATTTTGCAACATTACTGATACGACTTTGCTACCTCGTAGCTCCTCTAGTTTTGATTTTATGCCCAAATCATCTGGTTTTTAACATAAATTAAAAATATGTTTCTTCTTAGCATTCGTTTTCAATTCGAGGATTTATCATTGAAAACATTAAAATCGACATTATTTAGACGTGGACGGGATATAAGGAAGAATTAATGTAACCACGTTGTAATCTCGTTTTATCAGCATAAGTGAGAGAAGTAAACATGTTTGTTGGAATAAGACAATCTTTTATCAATAGATTTTCAGAAAAAAGAACTTATCTTTGAAAACCTGCAAGATTGCAAACTTGTGTTCAGCAGCCTTTAAGGAACTGTGTAAACCCGATTTATTAGCTGTATATATATTTTTCAAACCTTCACTGTTCATCGAGGACAGAGAACTCTCTCTGTATATCTCTCAAAAAACGTTTGAATTCCCGTAAAACCGGTGTATTGCATGGGGACAACTCTTTACATGGGGCGGACTTTTAACCATTTCAACACAATGTTAGACATAAAAAGCTATGCTAAGACATTACAAATTATTAGTTGACATATATTAAATACGCTTTTAGTTCTTAAATGTGTTTAAAGGGTGTAAAGGCAAAAAAGGTTATTTCCTCTCAAATGTCGTCTTCCTTTCAAATCATCAAACAATTAATATTTACTGGAGACATAGATAATTTTTAATGTGTTTTCCAATCAAAATACATAAATGAATATCAGAAGATGTCTTAACTTTGCTTTTCATATCTAACAGTGTGTTGAAATAGTTAAAACTTTCAGGGGAGTCCGTCCCATGCAGATGCAGGAGTCCTCTCCATGCATGACACCGGAGTGTACGGTAGTGTTAGTGATAAAATGTGAGGCCTCAATCTAACTTAAAAGTACATTTTGACCTTCGAAAAGTCATTAATTTTTGGAGGACAACAGTTGGAACACCTGGACTGAAAAAGGATACCAATACTAGATTCAGAACACCAAGAAACCTATGATTTGATACCTCACATTGCCTACTTTTATTGACTTTATATTTTGACCGGAGGACAAAATTAGAAAAAAGGTATGATATGATTTTTTTTGGGGGGTGGGAAATACTCCTTAGGTATGTGCATTATGAAATATATTGACAGATTAGGGTGACATTATTTTTAAACATATCCGCAGTTTTGTGGGAAACTGTGTTCCTTTTGATTAATTCAATTAGCCAATCAGAGAAAAACGTACATTTAGCGTTAAACATCTTGTAGTATTGAAATCAGTCTGTGCCAAGAGTTACATGATCAGAATTCATGAATAGGTCTCTTCAATTGAATTAATTACGCCCGACTATCTTAAACCTGTCTGCGGCCGCTGCGCTTGGTTCGGTAACACGGTAAGCTAGAGCTCTGTCCCGTAGCACGGTAAACTAGAGGTCCTGGTTTCCATTCAAGCGAGCCTTAACTTTAGAACCCATTATTACTCATTAAATGTATATTATTTGTATTTG